AGACACATAAAACACAATCTCCAACTTCAAGAAGCTCTTACAGGTTGGAACTGCCACAGAACTCCAAGAGAAAAGTGAGCCGTGGGAAAGGGAGGAGATACAGGCAGGAGTAAATGAGGTACCAAGAAAGGAAACAAAAGGCACAAGTGCAGGAATGACAACGACACTGCAGGCGATGATGGGGAGTGAGTAGGGCCACTAAGTAGACTCCACCTCCCAAAGCAGAGAATTGAGAGAAAGTGAGAGTGAAGAGTGAGAAAGTGAAAGTTAAGAAGCGAGAGAGTCTGGTGGATTAAAGAACCTATTTACTCACTTGGAAGGTGAATGTGTGGGACAACCAACTAACATTGTTATAATTCTGAGGGTGGGCATCATAGAAGGTACTTATGTTGCAGCTAATTTGCCTAGTGGAAATAAACTAGCTGGCTCATGGCAGTGCAGTTCATCATCAAGATCATTAAGGAACTATTCCACTACATGCCATCTTTTCTGATTACCACAACTTTTCCCAGGCATTTTCATTACCAATATTAGCCTTCAAAAAGTGCATGAAATTTATAATATGGCCGGCATCGGGAAAAACAAAGTGAGCTTTGTTAGGCATTTTCTTAGATTTTCTTAATAGCAATGATAGAATATGACAGGTATTTTAACAAACGGTGGTGCTATCAATTGTGTGAATTAGAATATATTAAACAATGCTTCTGGGAGGCAAAGGAAGTTATTAAAGAACACTTAGGAAGGTAAAAAAATGCCTGGAAAAAATGTCCCCCTCAGGCCTGGGGAAACCAGCTAATAGGCAATATGGGGAGTTGAGGGGAGGTGCATCCCAAAGTAATTTTCTTTATGATGAAAATGTTTTAACGATTCATTTTATTCTCTTATTGCAGGCAGGTAGAAGCCTTTAGTATATCATAGTAAAATGTGCTCAAGATGGACATTTTGTATTATATATAGTATAAATAAGAAATATCAGTTTGGGGAAAACATGGTAAGATTCTTCCCTTCAGTAGTTCTATTTTCTTTTTATTATTATTATTATGCTTTAAGTTCTGGAGTATATGTGCAGAACGTGCAGGTTCTATTTTCACAAAATAAGAAATAGATGCATCACAAGGTGACTCTGAGAATCCTAGACAATCAGTAGAAAGTAGACTAAATATGAACCTAGCTGGGCTTTTTCAAAGCCTTAAGCTGTCATTCATTCACTAGTCTAATGTAGTTGAATTGCACGTGGGATTTTTTTCTACTTATCATCTGTATGACCTCAGACACTGCCTAACCTCTCTGAACTTCTAGGTGCCCATGTTATAAAATCTGAATAAGAAAACTTACCACATACAGGCTTGTTGGGAGGATGAAATAAAATTAATACTATGATGTACATAAATTGTTTAGTGTACCACTTCACAGCCCCAAGTAAGTATGTGCTATTAAGAGTAGATACTTACTATCATTGATATTTCTGGTGATATGATTATTAATTTACTGTTAATATGTTGTATTTAATCAGAAGACCTATGTTTCAGTCCCAGATAAGCTTACCAGCTTACTATTTCCTCATCTATAAATGGCAATATTATGACGAGAATAATGTCTGCTTTGCCTAAATTACAAAATTATGGGAAGCTCCAAAGGTTATGTATGTGCAAACTATAAATGGTTAAATGAATTAAGGTATTTTCTCCTCTACTATATATACCCAAATGAAAGAAACTCAAGGGTAAGCTACTCACCTCCATTTAATGCACCATTAATATAATACTACTCACTCTATTAGCACAAATAAAAAAGGAATATATACAGGTTTTCAGTAACGGTGACTTACTGTGATATTGTGAGTATGACTCTTTACAGTTAATATAACATCTATATCTTACTGTTATGGAGATAACTCTTGCAAACCTCTAGCAGTACATACATAAATCTCTCAAAATTAAAACATGACTCTCTACTAAAAAATGTGAACATAAATAGACTATTTCTGCCACTAAATCATGCAATGGAGCCATATATTTACTAACTATAACCTTGATACAAAGATTAATATAAGAGCAAACATATTTTCTAAAAATAATCAAAAAATTGGGTTGCAGTTAAGGAAAAGAAAAAATTATCTAAATTGTTGGGTAATATCTAACTGAATTTAGAAGTTTATCAAAGTTAATTTTATATTTTTCACTTGAATTACAAGAAGTCTGGATATATATAAATATATGTGTATATATATTTTATATATATATACACACACACATATATCTCTTTCTGGTTTTTTTGTTTGTTTTTTGACAGGGTCTCACTCTGTCACCTAAGCTAGAATGCAATGGTGTGATCTTAGCTCACCGCAGCCTCTGCCTCCCAGGGTCAAGTGATTCTCCCACCTCAGCCCCCTGAGTAGCTGGAACTACAGGCACATGCCACCACACCCAGCTATTTTGTTGTTGTTGTTGTTGTATTTTTCGCAGAGATGGGGTTTCATGATATTGCCCAGGCTGGAACTCTGGATAATCTAATGTGACAAATGTTGCTTGTATAAAAAGTTACAGAAGGCCTGTCCAGAGCTCAATGGCGGATGGCTTGACTGGAGGCCAGTGGAAATTACAGCTCTGATTTTCACCAATTTAACCCCCCACCCCTATTTTTGGACAGGAGCCAAGTAAAAGTTATTTCTTCTCAACATGCGGAAGAGGAGAGATAGAATTTAAATATTCTCCATCACCTGTATCTGACAGCTGGTGATTTTAAGAGCAAAGATTTGGGTTAGAGAAAAGGCAGCCTTGGGAAAGTACTACAAGTAAGCTGTGGAGAGAGTTAAAATATGTTTTATCTGTGCATAACTAACCTACATATCATTCCTTTTTGATTCCTTTGTTCTTTTTTTTCCCCTCGACCTGGAATTTAATATTATGAACAGGATGCGATGGAGATGAGGGTAAACTCAAAAGGGGAATGACTGCTAATACGATTTATCCAAACATTATTAGGATGATTGGTTAGGAAAAAAAGTGGACAGATATTGGAATGCAAGGATGGCTTTGGTCTTGAGATGTAAAAGCAAAAATAGGCTTGAGGATTCATGATGTGTATCATACACCTCCTGCCCCCACAGCTAATTACAGGTGACATAGGATTCAGTAGAACAGGACAGTCTGTGATTTGTCTGCTTGATTATCAGCTAACATTCTCAACTCCTTCTTTCTATCTGTAGTAATTATTCCTATCTGATATATTTCAGTGTAAAGCCCCTTCATAAATGGTAAGGCACATAACAATTAGTTTAAAAGGCTAAACTCCTAAGAGGAGTTCAAGATAGGGGAGGCAACATATCTGTGTTTGCTAGAGGGAAAAACTTAGCTAACCTCTGAGAGCAATCTTTTTTTTTAAGGCAGTTCAAAGATCTGTTTCGTTTCTGTGATTTTTGACATTGAGGATGAATGTCTAAAATATTTACAAGAGAAACTGACTAGGTTTTTATTTGAAAAAAAAACAACAGATTATAGCAAAAAGATTAAGGGCGAATGAATGTACTGGTCTCTATGATTCTGGAATAAATAAACACTGTTCCTTGGAAAACACTTAAAAAAGAAAAAATTCTCTCTCAATCAGGAAATGGAAAGACATTCAAGCTCTCAACTACGTACAGTTGTAAACAGTGTGGGTGTGAAACAGCAGTGAAGAACAACGAGACCCTGTGAAGTTTCAACAAGAGGAGTAGGTGTATAACAAATAATAAAAATGCAAGATACAGTTATAAAAATAGAGAAGTGTGTGTATCCATACGAAATAAAGCATGCAATAGCGAGAAGCACTAATCTACAATCATGTGCACAGAGATCAAATCAAAATATTCAAAATTTAACAAAAAATGAAATGTCACCCAAATTCTCTAAAATAACATGTGTATGAATAAAAAGAATATCCACAGTCCAGGATGTAAAACCCATGTGAAAAGTGTGCCCTATGAGCCAAATTCTCCAAATAAACTGGTGCCCCCTTGGAAGAGAAGAAGCACCTCCCCACCTGGGATGGAGGTGCAAATCAGCTGGCAGTGATTTCAGTGGAAACTCTGCACCCACAGAGAGGCCTGTGTGTCTTTGTTTTACACCTGCTGAATGCAAAGAGCAAGGCTCTGAGGTTTAGGAAAAGCAGTCGTCCCTTCAAATCTTGCACAGTCAGGGTCTAGGGTGCTCAACATCTTGAACATGATTGGCTTTTGCCAGCAGCAGGGTCAGGAAAATGCCCATTTCTCATCTCTCTGTCTAGGCTTTCTTGGCTCAGTCTCTGTCTGGTCTTGTTATTTACTTAGTGTTAGACTTTTCTGTATTTATAATTCCCAGCATGGAGAATGGAGCTTTTTGGAGAAAAGATGTTATTTAGATTGTTTTACTCATTTAGGTTAAAAAAATCACATAGGGCTGTACTTGCAGCTCCTTAGGATATAGTTATATATACACAAAAAATGAAAACTGATATTTAAAATCACAAGTTTACATTTAGGAACAAAGGGAAGATGTGTTGTCAATAAATCAAAATGGAAACTCTTCTGTGTAAGAAGAGATCATATCTGAGGTACATTTGTAATAAAGATGACAAAGACAAGTAACAGATAAGAGAGGAAATCTTGATATGACTAAGAAGATGCCGATACTTGTCCATGTGCCAAAAGAGGTAATATCTATGAAACGATTCAAAACAATAAAGACTTTTTAAGATAAAGGAAATCTTTTGGAATGGTACAAATGAGATATACTTTCTACTGCTTATATACAATATGTACATTTAGAAAAAGGTAAATTCAAATATTTAAGGATGAAGCAAAAGAAAATATTTTTTAAATGAAGATCAAGGCTTAGATGAATTTTATCAGCCCAGCGAACATATCCAGAAATAAAAATAATTCTTTTGAAGAAATAAATAGAAACTATTACTATTAACAAAATTGTTCTTTTACTATTCTACATGGTTTACTTTCTGGTTCACATTTTCAAGAAGTTTCTTACCTGGGTTGACTGTTCACCTTTTCATGTTTTCCATTGAAGTTCAAACTACAGAGGTTTTTTGATTTCGAATGTGAAGAGTCTGATTCCAAATTTGCCTGTGTTTGTTCTCTCAAACGATCATGAAGTGTTGCCTCCTTTTTCAAGTTCATGTCTGAATACGGGCAGCCAAAAGCACTGGTTTGTATAAAAATGAGAGCACAGTCATCAGTATATAGCGATAAATCAGGGGTCCATTGTCATTAGAGCAGACTTACATCTAATATTTAACAATTGCATAGAAACATTCTTCTTTCCCTGAGCACACTGAAATAACAGTTTGTTTTCGTATTGCCTTTTCAGAAAATCTCAGGTTCTAGAACCACAGACACTGGTCAACAAAGAATTATAGATAGATTCATCAACACATACGGCATTTACAATTTTAGAAACTTAAAAATCTAAGAATAGCATACAGATGTATTTCTAATGGAACAATGCAAAAGTCACATAACACTTAACTCAGTTTGTATCCTTAATATGTATTCCCTGGTTTGACTGTATCAGAAAAGACTATGGGTAACTGAGTATATTTGCTGATATCAGAGAATACTGTGTTTTCGTTTCTTAATATTCATGTATGCAGAAATACTCTATCTGCAGTTCTGCTTAATCCTCTGGAGCTTTGCTGGGAAGTTTTGTGCTGGGGTGTGAAAGGACACCTTGTAGGTGAGAGAGGAGAGGCCCAAGCCCAGGTCTGCTGAGTCTGTTATCTCCCCTCACAAGTCAAGGCTGAGTCCTGAGTCCTGGATGTTATCAGAGCCCAACAGCAGGCTATGGGCAGAAGGATCTGCCAGGGCCAACGACCTGGTTCCTTCTGCAGGCTGATGGGCTGTCTCCGTTAGATCCCCGTGTCCACGTCCCTGTCTCCAAAGAGGCCCCAAACCTCTGCCGCTGCTAGAACTGAGGCAGCTACACCAGGGAAGACACACCCAAGACAGGTCACTCGTACATTACCCTGGGGGAGGTACTTCCTGCCAGAGCTTCAGAGATTCTCTCCAGTGAAATGAGAAAAGGAGATCCAACTCATAAGGGTTGTTGTGACCCTGAGAAATCACAAACACATGCCACACACACACACACATCATGAAATGGTAGCTGTTATTGCCATCACAGTGTTATCATCGGCTACACCTAGAGGAGCACATAGTCAAATGCATCAATATCGAGGCAGTTGATTCTTTTTTGAGCACAAGTTCTGGTCCACAACTTTATCATGAGTCCAGCAAAGATAATAAAAATAGACTGGATCTTCTGGGGAAGGCCATATGCATTCTAACCCCAAAAGGACTTTAGTACCAATATCTAGAATTAGAATGGACTCTGGAACTGGGGACAGGATGGCTAAGATGGTATCAGCCTGGCCCAGTATGATCTATACCTGTATCAGCAACCTTTGCTACAGAAAGAAGGGCGCCTTTACATGCATGTTCTGTAATTTGTAATAATCGGTATTGATCTATTGGTTTATTAATCTATTCAGGTATTGATTCGACAATCCATAAGCATCTGCCACCTGCTAGGTACTTTAGAGAATATGAATTCAGTGAAGAAGTTAAGACACATGTACCAAAAAGAATAATTTATAATAAGAATTAAAAAGCTACCCCTATTGAACGTATGGTATAGGCCCACTATAATACAAGGTGCTTTACATGTATTATTTCTGATGAATATATATTTTTGGCTGAATACCAAAAGGTATTAGCATATTTATTTTACTGGTAAGACAATGGGCTCACACAGCATAAGCAACTTTCCCAAGGCCTCATGGCACTTCCTTGGGAAGTCCTGAAACAAATCACTTAACTATTGGCACTAATCAGGCTGACGAAGGGGGACATGGTTTTTAACACCATCCAAAAAAGAAAATATGAAGGAAGCCATAGCATAGTCCTTGTGCAGGGAGACCCAGAGGCAGGCATTTACAGACCCAATGCAGTCTTGGTTTGCCCTGGTTGCTGGCAGAGAAGATCAGACCAGCATACGCTTGAGTCCTGGGATGAAGCACCGTTCCCAACAGCAGCAGAGCAAGAGTGATCTGGTTAAGCTGCACCATATGGGATTTAAGGAAAATTTCAGGAAGAACTTTCTGTAGGCAAAAGTTGAAAGGCATTAGGCTAACCTAAGAGAGACTGAGAAATATCTTTTTCAAACACAGTGGAGTTTTCATTAAGATACTATGACTCAGAAGTTTTGCTATCCATCTAATACACACTCCCAATTCGAGTTTTTTAAATGATCCTTATAACTACGAATTACTTTTTTTGTAATTTCATGTCACCACCCCTATGTGGTTCATGCTACAAGTCACTAATGCTGCCTCTTCCTAAGGCTTATCTGTCCGGCATCTGTAGACAGCGACCACAGACCCCTCCACAGTGAGCTGTCATAGTCATCAGTGTTTGCTGATGTCGAGAGATGTTCTGCTTCCCTCAGTCTTCATTCATAAATCAGTCTCTCTGGTCACTCATTCATTCACCTATTTCTAATTTCCTTCTAGTTCCTTTTTTGTCTCTCTGGTAGTAAGGAAGGCAAAATCAAATGGAACCCCAGAGCATTGCTAGAATGGAACAATTCCTGATTCTATGAGGCAAGTCATGTGACTTGTCTGCAACATTTTGAACCTCATAACGTGGGTTCTGAGAATCTGCTGTGACCAAGTTGCAACACTGCGCTCACTTGGTTCTTTGCAGAGAAATAGTTACATTAAGGACATGGCATCCCAAACTTTTGCCTGCCTTCTTGCAAACTCAGACTCTTACTGATGCGCATGTGCATGCATGTATGCATGCATGTGTGTGTGTGTTTGAGAGACGTATGATTTTGTATAAATCTATTCACATTGAAAAAAAAAAAAAAGATGAAGTGGACGTCCTACGTATGATAAAACTACTTTAAAACTACTTTTGAAAGCTTTGGATTTAGCCAAATATTGGGGAAGTACGGTTCTGACATAGTCTCTTCAGAAAATATTTGACCTAAGCTGAAGTTTCTATGACTTAAAGTTGTGTTGGTCAAAGTAAACTGTCAGTGTCTGATTGGCAGGGAGTAATATATTCAAATTCCAGTTGGTTGATTATGGATGGAGACAAGCAAGCTTAGAAACTGCAGGCTGAGAGGGGAGTGCTGAGCCGCACCGTCTCCGCTGGAGTCCTGGCTCTTTTGATTGAGAAGAGGATTTCTCCATTCCTCCTTAACTCACAGAAGAATCTGTCATTTGCAGGAAAGGAAGAGACGGCAGCAGCTATTAGCTTGACCCACACAAAATTGCAGTTTTTAAATGTCAAAGACAGTTGAGTATCAGAAATTTTCTATGGTTCTACCAAATAATTTACCAAAAATGTCAGCCCCAACCTCAACAACAGTGAAGCAGGTGAATAGAGGATATATGCTAAATAAACAAAAAGTTGCCAGACTGTTGCAGACAAACTTTTAAAAGAAAAATTTTTTGACACATAACAAGTAGTCCTCCTACTTTATGATGGAAGGAAACAGAGTGATTACAATTTAAAATACTAGTTTTGTTTTAAGAATACGGAAGCATAATTTTGAATATCTGATGACAAATGAAAAAGTAAATTGTACTAATTCTAAGAGCGGCAATCCTGAACATGTTTCTGTCTCTGAATTTTAATGAGGTTAGGGTTTGCAAAGTAGCAATACTGAGCTGCTGAGGCTGGACCCCTGCATTTCCGGTGGGATCCTGGAGGCTCCTCAGACTGAATCTTCTCTCCGGCTTTCCACAGCAGGGGTACCTGATTCCACCAGTTGGTACAGTTTCCCTGTATTCCAAGGACTTATCCTGATGTGAGGCCACAGGTAATCCATTAAGCCCAGTCCTCCATTTTAAAGTCCAATGGCAGCTGAAGCAGTGCCCAGGTCTGATGTCTGCACGAATGCCATGTTCAGAAGCCCTAGTCAGCCTCGTGGGGTCTGGTTCCTCTAACTCAGCATCCACCTTGATCCCTGTTTCTAAATGCCTTGCCCTCTGCTTTGACTAGACTCAGGTGCCTTCCTGGTATGGACACTCTAAGTTCTTACTTTGTTTTTACCATCCCCTTCCCATGACACAATTTCTCCCTCTTAATCTTAAACCTAGGATGTGTGGCTTCATTTCCCAGATGCCACCTGGCCAGTCTTCTCTGTGCTTCTCACCCTGAATTACTCCCTGCCAGGTGCTGTGCCCACCAATCGGGATCCCTCCCTTCCTCTCAAACCCTTCCCATGTGGCTCTGATTCCAAGAGTCTAGATGGTGATTACTGTTGCCAAACTCCTTGGATACCAGATTCTGCTCTTCAACTATACTCTCTTCTGGCATCCATAATGTTTCATTTTCTCATACCCAGACAGGAGACTTGATTCCCACTTCTCTCTGAGAGCCCTGTCCTGCTAAAACGGTGGGTGGTGCTCTGTCACATCCTGGAGATGGACAATTCACAGCAGGAGGTTATAACCAAGTTGTCACGACTTACCTAAGGGTAGCTTCCCAGCCTGTATGTGGCTACACCCTCAGGTGACCAGGGGGCCCCGGGGCACCAGAGTCCCAGACCAGTCCTTCCAGCCTCCAGCAGCCTCTAGGCTCTAAGCCCCCTTTTGTTCCCAAACACTGATAGTCATTTTTTCTCTGTGATATGACATTTAAAAAGTTGGAAAGCATGACAAATTTAAGCAAAAACGGCAAAGATGTAATAGCTTCCTGAGTGCTGTAGCTCGAAACATAAATAAATAACCCAGAAGTCAGCAGTATTTTGGGAAGAGTGTCAAGTCATTGACAACCTTTCTTGTGATCCTGAAAAGTAAAGTCACCCGAAATAGGCAAGTATCTCCCAGGAGGGGCTCAGATGTGGAAACGTGGCTTCCCATAGCCCAGGAATTAGACAGGCAGACTGTAAAGCACTCTTTAAATGCAACTAATTCACCCCTCCACGAAGCCTACAGTATTTTATAGTTTAATCTCAAGTATTTTGCTAACCAATTATATTCTTTTCCTTCAAGAGGTAGAAAAGACAAGACTGAAGAGTCCTCTCTTAACTGAGAGGTCAGATTCTAACAGGTACTGTGTCTGGGTGGGTCGGGGCATCTCCATGTGGAAGCCTTTATGGAGGAGAAGGTCGGAGGCCTCCCAGAATCAAAG